GTCGAGACTATAGTCGAGAGTATAGAATAGTCTATAGTCGAGACTATAGACTATTCTATAGTCGTGACTATAGAATAGTCTATAGTCGTGACTATAGAATAGTCTATAGTCGAGATTATAGAATAGTCTATAGTCGAGACTATAGAATAGTCTATAGTCGAGACTATAGAATAGTCTATAGTCGAGACTACAAAATAGTATATAGTCTAGACTATAGAATAGTCTATAGTCGAGACTATAGAATAGTCAATAGTGGAGACTATAGAATAGTCAATAGTGGAGACTATAGAATAGTCTATAGTCGAGAATATAGAATAGTCTATAGTCGAGACTATAGAATTGTATATAGTCTATAGAATAGTCTATAGTCGAGACTATAGAATAGTATATAGTCTAGACTATAGAATAGTCTATAGTCGAGACTACAGAATAGTATATAGTCGAGACTATAGAATACTCTATAGTCGAGTCCATGGACTATAGAATAGCCTATAATCGAGAGACTATAGTCTATAGTCGAGAGACAATAATAGTATATAGTTGAGACACTAAAGAATAGCTTATAATCGAGACTATAGAATAGTCTATAGTCGTGACTATAGAATAGTCTATAGCCGAGACTATAGAATAGTCTATAATCGAGACTAAAGAATAGTCTATAGTCGAGACTATAGAATAGTCTATAATCGTGACTATAAAATAGTCTATAGCCGAGACTTTAGAATAGTCTATAATCGAGACTAAAGAATAGTCTGTAGTTGAGACTATAGAGACTAGAATAGTCTATAGTCGAGACTATAGAATATTCTATATAGTCTAGACTATAGAATAGTCTATAATCGAGACTATAGAATAGTCTATAGTCGAGACTATAGAATAGTATATAGTATAGACTATAGAATAGTATATAGTATAGACTATAGAATAGTCTATAGTCGAGACTATAGAATAGTCTATAGTCGAGACTATAGAATAGTCTACAGTCGTGACTATAGAATAGTATATAGCCGAGATTATAGAATAGTCTATAATCGAGACTAAAGAATAGTCTATAGTCGCGACTAGAATAGTCTATAATCGAGACTATAGGAGAGTCCATAGTCGAGACTATAGGATAGTCTATAGTCGAGACTATAGGATAGTCTATAGTCGAGACTATAGGATAGTCTATAGTCGAGACTATAGGATAGGCTATAGTAGAGACTATAGAATAGTCTATAGTCGAGACTATAGAATAGTCTATAGTAGAGACTATAGAATAGTCTATAGTCGCGACTAGAATAGTCTATAGTCGATACTATAGAATAGTCTACAGTTGTGACTATAGAATAGTCTATAGCTGAGACTATAGAATAGCCTATAATCGAGACTAAAGAATAGTCAATAGTCGAGACTACAGAATAGTCTATAGTCGAGACTATAGAATAGTCTATAGTCGAATACATGGACTATAGAATAGACTATAATCGACAGACTGTAGTCTATAGTCGAGAGACTATAATAGTATATAGTTGAGACACTATAGAACAGAATAGTCGAGAGACTATGGAATTGTCTAGAGACTATACAATAGTCTACAGTCGAAAGACTATAGAATAGTCTATACTCGACAGACTATATAATAGAATGTAGTCAAGAAACTATAAAACTATAGTCTATAGTGGAGACTATAGAATAGTTCATAGTCGAGACTATAGCATAGTCTATAGTCGAGACTACAGAATAGTCTATAGTCGAGACCATAGACTATCTATAGTTGAGATTACAGAATAGACTCTAGTCGAGAGACTTTATATATATATATATATAGTTAAGACTATGGATAAGTTTATATTCTACATTATAAAGCAGTATTTTGTCGGGACTATAGAGCAATGTTAAGGCCTTTTTTTTAGAAACTTTTCATTCTGCCTTCCTCTTACGGTGGCATTAACCATCCATATTATTGCTAATTGCCAATGAAAATGAAAAAAAAGAAACATTCTACAACAAAAGGGTTTGAAGTGTTTGAAATGCACTGAGCACAAGTAATGGTTACAATTTTAAAATTACCACCTAATATTGCTTTGTTTGTATTATTTTCTTATACCCTTGAGACATGTACTTGTTTGAAAGAGGGGAAAATTGTATAGAGTAAAATAAAACATTTAAAATATACGACAGTCCATAAGACATTTTACTCTAGCAAATTATTATCCTTCAAAAATGTTTAAGGTTGAAATAATATTTAAACTAAAGTAATAAATGCAATACATTTTTGTTTTGCTTATGGATATGGATTTAATTTCATTTCTATGAAATTGCATTTATTGCTTAAAAAACAAAAACTAACATATTTAATTTAATTTTGCCAAAAATTACATTATTCAGTTTACATAGTTTAAATTTGCAATTATAAGGAATTTAATATTTATTTAAACTTTAACATTTAATTAAATATTCTGAGAATTACAAATAAGCAATATTTTTTTCTAATTTGTTTTTGTTTTGTAAAAGTAATTTAATTGTATTTTATTATTAGCATGATAAAATGTTTATGGGATATTTAGTAAAATATTTGTTATTAAATGTTATTAAGAAAATTAATATGTAAATTATTTTTGCATTTAAGTTGCATTGCATAAAATTTTAAAAGTAATACGTATGATATTTTTCATCACAGCTCTGTATCTAATATTTACATAGTTGCCAGTTTTAAATTTATAAAGTTGACCTGACCTTTAACCTAAGAATAAATTTTATTTCATTCCCTTATCTCATAAATAAAATAAACATAGTTAACGGTGTAGCAGTATCACAATTCAATTAAAGTTTGTTTATTTTTGGAAATGGATAAAAATCGTTTTAGAGAAACGTTGTGACCTTTTGTTTTTTTTTTTTGTATCTGAAAAGTGAACAAAATTGCGGAGAAGTGTATGATTCAATAATGGAACATTTTATGAACACCGAATCTAACGTCTACTTTCACAAAGTTTTTATTGTGATCTTGAGCACTGCGGGTCACACTATTATACACAGGCTATAGTCCAGACGGTAGATCTACTATAGTTTAGACCATGGTTCAGACTATAGTCCTACCTATGGATCAACCTGTATTACAAACTTTAGATCAGACTATGCCTGAGATTTTAGTCCTGAATATATGTAATCCTGTAGGTCTTACAGGAGTTCAGAATATTGATCATACCATATTCCACAATGTATGTAGATCACACTATAGATTAGGATACATGTAGATCAGAATATAGTCTAAACTTTAGATCTGACTAAAGATCAGAATATGAGACCATAGATTAGATTGCAGTTCAGACTATGGATAAGACTATGTATAGCCCAGACCGGACTGTGGGCCAGATTGTTGTACAGACTATAAATCTAACTATAATTGATTGATTGAGACGAATAGATTATAATTCAGACAATAGCCTAGATCAGTCCATAGATCAGACTATAGATTGGACTACATACGAAACAATACTAGTACTAGACTATAGATCAGATTATAGTTCAGACATTTGTCCAGACTATAGAACGGGCTATAGTACAGACTATTGATCATACTATAGACTAGACTATAGATCACACTATAGTTCAGACTATAGATCATACTATAGTCCAGACTATAGACCGGACTGTGAGACAGATTGAAGTACAGAATATAAATCAAACTAGACTATATATAGATCAGATTATAGTTCAGACATTTGTCCAGACTACAGAACGGGCTGTAGTCCAGACTATAGATTACACTATAGTCTAGACAATAGATCACACTATAGTCAAGACTATAGATCATACTATAGTCCAGACTATAGACCGAACTGTGGGCGAGATTGTAGTACAGAATATACATCGAAATATAATCCAGACTATATTAATATAATGGTCCAGACTATAGATCAGGCTATAGTCCAGATTATAGATCAGAATTTGCGATCTAGATTACAGTGCAGACTACGGCTAAGACTATACATAGACTAGACTATAGACCGGACTGTGGGCCAGATTGTAGTACAGACTATAAATCAAACTATAATCCAGACTTTAGTCCAGACTATATTTATATTATAGTGCAGACTATAGATCAGACTATAGACCAGACTATAGTCCAGACAATAGACCAGACTATAGATCAGACTATAGATCAGATTATAGACCATACTATAGCCCAGACTATAGATAAGAACATAGTCCAACTACAGTACAGACTGTAGTCTAACTAGAATCCAACTCTAGCCGAGATTATAGTCCAGATAATGGTCCAGATTGTAGATCAGACTATGGTCCAACTATAGTCCAGACTATGACCCAACTATAGACCAGACTATAGTTGGACTATAGTCCAACTATAGTCCAGTCTATAGTCCAACTATCCAGATTATAGATCAGAATATGCGACCTAGATTACAGTTCAGACTACGGATAAGACTATATGTAGACCAGACTATAGACCGGACTGTGGGCCAGATTGTAGTACATACTATAAATCAAACTATAATCCAGACTTTAGTCCAGACTATATTTATATTATAGTCCAGACTATAGATCATACTATAGACCGGGCTATAGTCCGGAATATAGATCAGACTTTATTCCAGAATACAGATCAGACTATGGCTGAAAGTACAGACCAGACTATGGACCTGTCTCTAATCCAGACTATAGATCAGAAGACTATAGTCGAGACTTAGGTCAGACTATATATCAGACTATTTTTCAGGCTATAGTCCAGACTATAGTTCAGACTATTATCCAGACTATTGATTAGACTGTATAGTCTATAGTCTAGATTATAGACAAGAATATTGATTAGACTCTGACTTATTCTATAGCCCAGACCATAGTCAAGATTATAGTCCAAACATTAGTCAAAATTATAGTTAGAACTATAGTGGGGATCATAGACAAGACTGTGGTTAAGAGTATAGTCCGACCTCTAGTCAAATTCATAAAAATTTTTTAATTAAAAAAGTACATTATTTCAGCATTGATTTTGTTACCTTTTGAACTTCTTTTACTAAGATGATTGGTTACAGTTGTTGTATGACTATTAGTTGCCGATGCAGCATTTAAGGGTAAATTATTATTAAACGCCTTAGACGGCGTAAATTGTTCTGATAACATTAATATGATTGCAAAATTTAGAAGAAAAATGTAAATTTTTATACTGAATACGTTTTATTTTTAAAAAAACACACACGTTTCGTAGTTAAAACATTTTTATATATTGAATTTAATTATAATATAACAAAAGCTTTTTAAAATTAGCACTTGGAGATATTTAAGCAATTTCTTTTTTAATTTATATATTTATATTGGTTAATTTATATTTTATTATACATATTTAGTAAATTAATTTATTATTTTTTTATTAAAGAGTTGATAACAGCAAATAAAGCTTTGTATTAATATTCATTTTTTCCCTTAATTGTTAGAAAAAAGCGAAAATTATGTTGAGTAAAGAAAAATGAACAAAAATTAAAAGTGATGACATGCAGACGTACGAAGAGCAGGATTTTATAGTTACAGCAGCGTAAAAGCGAAATTAGTTTTATTTAATAAACAAAATTTATTTTATTTCTTTAAATAATTTTTTCTATTTTTTTGGTCTTCTAAAAAATAGTAATTAAAAGCACAGGATATATACACTCACTACTCACTTAAATACACATTCTTTATCTTTATTTTTTACTCGCTTTTATTCGTTGTTTCCTTTTTTTGTACTTTTTTCTTTGACAAAGGAGAGGCCAAAAAAAGTTGTGAGGGGTTAGGAAATGCGTAAGAAATGAAGATTGATTTTTAAGGATTTTTCCTTTCTAAAAGTTTAAGTTAAAGAATTTTCTCTTTTTTAACACTTTATTTAATTTAAAATATTTTTTATAAATTATAAATAATTTTATTTAAATTCCTTCTTCTTTCACTTGATAACTCACATTTTTTTCTTTCTTCAAACTAAAAATTTCACTTGATTTTTTTCTTTATATAGTAAAATATGCATCTGTATATGTGTATATGTTTGCCTGCCTTTATATATAATTTTTTTGTTACAAAATTTTTATTATTTTTTTCCAATTTTTTACCGCTTTTTCTATTTTTATGACCGTAATCTTTGAAATACCGTTAAGTACTGAAGTAACCAAAGCTTTACAATATGTGTATACTCTTTTTTTGCTTTTCCTAATTCCTCTGCTTCTTCTATTGCCTTACGAAGTTTTCGTTGTGCGTTCCCAGCTGTCAAACAACGGTTTGATAAAAAGGAATTGTGCGAGGAAAAAAAATAAAAGCTTTTTATGTTTTAACGAAAAAGCTTTTTGCTTATGTGTGAGAGTTTTTTTGTAGGTCATTTTATTGTTGTTGCTACTCATGTGAACACAATAAACTTTCTTTTTTGACTAGAATTGAAATAACAAATGAAAAAGCTTTTAGGCGGGAAAATTACAAAAAAACTCTTGCTTACACTTTCACTAGGTTGTAGAGAGTAAAAGTATGTAATTATTAATGGGGACTCTATGGAAATTGAGAGTGATCCAGATTAAAGGAGTAAACATTTGAAAGGTTTATAAATCTTAAGAATATGTACATATCATAGGCGAGACTATAGTCCAGACTATAGACGAGACTATAGTCAAGACTAAAGACGAGACTATAGTCCAGACTATAGACAAGACTATACTCCAGACTATAGACAAGACTATAGTCCAGACTAAAGACGAGACTATAGTCCAGACTATAGACGAGACTATAGTCCAGACTATAGACGAGACTATAATCCATACAATAGACGAGACTATAGTACAGACTATAGACTAGACTATATTTCAGACTACAGACTAGACTATAGTCCAGACTATAGACTAGACTATAGTCCAGACTATACACAAGACTATAGCCAAGACTATAGTCCAGACTAAAGACGAGACTATAGTCCAGACTATAGAACAGACTATAGACGAGACTATTGTCCAGACTATAGACGAGACTATAGTTCAGACTATAGACGAGACTATAGTCCAGACTATAGACGAGACTATAGTTCAGACTATAAACGAGACTATTGTCCAGACTATAGACGAGACTATAGTCCAGATTATAGACGAGACTATAGTACCGACTATAGACTAGACTATATTTCAGACTACAGACTAGACTATAGTCCAGACTATAGACGAGACTATAGTTCAGACTATAGACGAGACTATAGTCCAGACTATAGACGAGACTATAGACTAGACTATGGTCCAGACAATACACAAGACTATAGCCAAGACTATAGTCCAGACTATAGACGAGACTATTGTCCAGACTATAGACGAGACTATAGTTCAGACTATAGACGAGACTATAGTCCAGACTATAGACGAGACTATAGACGAGACTATAGTCCAGACTATAGACGAGACTATAGTCCAGACTTATAGACGAGACTATAGTCCAGACTATAGACGAGACTATAGTCCAGACTTATAGACGAGACTATAGTCCACACTATAGACGAGACTATAGTTCAGACTATAGACGAGCCTATAGTCCAGCCTATAGATACTATAGATAAGACTATAGTCCAGCCTATAGATAAGACTATAGCCAAGACTATAGTCCAGATTATAGCCCAGACTGTAGTCTAGACTACAGACGAGACTATAGTCCAGACTGTAGACGAGACTATAGTTCAGACTATAGTACAGACTATAGACGAGGCTATAGTCCAGACTATAGCGAGAATATAGTCCGCACTATAGAGGAGACTATAGTCCAGACTCTAGACGAGACTATAGACTATAACTATAGTTCAGCCTATAGACGAGACTATAGTCCAGCCTATAGACTAGAGTATAGTCCAGCCTATAGCGCAGACAATAGTCCAGACTATAGATGAACTATAGTACAGACTATAGACGAGCCGATAGTACAGACGAGACTATAGTCCAGATTATAAACGAGACGATAGTGCAGACCAAAGATAAGACTGTAGTCCAGTCTATAGATGAGATTATAGCCTAAACCATAGATGAGACCATAGATGATAGTGTAGTCTGGACCAGATGAGACAATAGTTCATACTATATAAGAGGCCATACTCCGGACTATAGACGAGACTATAGTCCAGAATATAGATGAGACTATAGTCCAGTTGGTAGAGGAGGTTGTAGTTCAGACAATGCTCGATAATATAATCTAAACTACAAACAAGTCTAATACAAAGACGGGTCTAGACTCTAGAGTATAGTTGAAATGGTCTGTTTAGTTATGTATAACATTTCACGTCATTTCCATCCAATAATATTTATAATTTTTTCCAATTTTTATTTTTTCAGAACCTCGTTATAACCCTCGTATGTTTCCACAAAAAAAAAAAACTGCAGTATATTTTTAGGTAAGTTAATATTATCAGCTAAACTCTAAAACGCTTTCATTTCGATAACTACTCATATCTACCGCCCTCTTCCCCCACAAAATTCCACATTTCGTTAAGTTCTAGATAAAATGAATAAAGAAAGAAAAACGAAGACAAAAAGAAAACGTCATACACATGCAAAACAAAAGCTTTTTCATATTTAAAGGGAGAAACACATAATTCAAACACTAAAAACGCAAATAGAAAAAGTAAAACAAAAGCAAATTGTATAAAACAAAATACGCAAATAACGAACATTTCAATGAATGAAAAGCTTTCTGTTTCCTTTTCGTAATTTACTATAAACGTCCCCTGTTCGTAGTAAGACTCCCTCAAATACTAGAGAATATTAAGTTGGGAATTGCTACAAAAAAAAAAAAAAAACGTTTAATGCAAATAATTGCAATTGTAAATGGGTTTTGAAATGAAAGGCAGTTAAGTTGGAACATATACTAGTCACACAATGAATATACAGTTATTCTATTGTAAATATTTGTAGACAGACAGATATCATGGAAATGTGGGTGTAGTGTGAGGGTCAATCGTTGTCTAAAAGCATGACTAATAATAAATTTAAATAAATGAAAGGAGAGGAGGTTGTAGATTTTTTGTAACAGGGAACGAGACTATAGACGATACTATAGTCCAGACTATAGACCAGACTATAGACGAGACTATAGTCCAGACTATAGACGACACTATAGACCAGACTATAGACGAGACTATAGTCCAGACTATAGACGACACTATAGACGAGGCTATAGTCCAGACTATAGACGAGGCTATAGTCCAGACTATAGATGAGGCTATAGTCCAGACTATAGACGAGACTATAGTCCAGACTATAGACGAGACTATAGTCCAGACTATATACAAAACTATACTCCAGACTATAGACGAGACTATATACGAGACTATAGTCCAGACTATAGACGAGACTATAGTCCAGACTATAGACGAGACTATAGTCCAGACTATAGACGAGACCAGATATAGTCGAGACTATATTCCAGACTATTGTCGAGACTATATTCCAGACTATAGACGAGACTATAGTCCAGACTATAGACGAGACTATAGCCCAGACTGTAGACGAGACTATAGTCCAGACTATAGACGAGACTATAGTCCGGACTATAGACGAGGCTATAGTCCAGACTACAGACGAAACTATACTCCAGACTATAAACCAGACTGTATTATAGTCCAGACGAGACTATACCCCAGACTATAGACGAGAATATACTCCAGACTATAGACGAGACTAAAGTCCAGACTGTAGACTAGACTATAGTCCAGATTATAGTAAAAACTATAGACGAAGATATAGTCTAGACAATAGACTTGACTACAATTAATACTAATAGATGAGACTGTAGTCGCGGATGTAGTCTAGACTATGCATCCGTGTATATGTTCCTTAATGTGTATAGAAGCTTCAACGGAAAATGTATACATTCCCCTGAAATTGAGTGCATGTATTTAAGTGGTATATATTTTTTCCAAAGAAAATCCTCCCAACTGAACGAACACACAATTATAAAAACACACTTGTTGTTGTAACAAGTGAAAATACAAATTTGAACAATTCATTCACTTTCACAATTACAGGGTGGTCTGTATCTATGTATGTCTCTCTGTATGTGTCAGTGTATCATATTCATGGTTAATGTCGTCATTGATATTAAATACTTAAATTGTGGTTGCACTCCCACAATAATCAACATCATAGTCAGTAGCTGCTAGTACAATAATATCATCAGCAGACACACAAATACATACATACATACATACATATGAATGTATGTATGTAAATCAGTGTTGCTCAAACACATACTACCATAGACTACCATAGTTTTATTTGTGTTGGTAAAGCAGCAGAGAACAGAATTCAATTCAAAATAAAAGTATACTAATAAAATGACTACAAACTATAATGTATATGCTAACTGTCAAATATTTATTACGGATTTTGACAACTAGCGTATATCAAAGTCTATATATAAAAAACTATCAACTGTTCTCCTACATTAATTCGGCTTTCTCAAAATTTTGTTGTTGTATTTCTGTGTGTATTTTAAAAACGTCGCGCACAGACCTTGCTTCGACAAGTGCTGATCAGCAACTGATTTGATTTTGTTTTTCAAGTTGAGAGCAAACCAACTGATATTGCTCATTATAAAAAGAAGAAGAATTAAACCTATAGTGTATGTGTATCAACTTAGCGTCAGCAGAATTTTCTTACCCTATCACGCGTGCTATGTAATGGCAATCTTGCGCTCCTCTGATGTAAATATATAGAGGGTAACAAAAAGCGTATAAATATTTGGTTGACATTATTTATTCTGAAAATAACTTTAATAATTTTATTACAAGTTTCTATTTTAACTATTTATATTTCTTGTTGATTGGTCAAGGTAGAGTGTAGGGGGATCAATTTATACTTTAATATAGTAGGGAAAACATGGGTCCTATACATAACGTAAATTAATGCTACCTAATCAATATTATTTGGTAAAAATATTCAAAGAAATTTAAATGAATTTGTTATAGAACTACAGGGTCCACGTGATAATTACTTTTTGGTATAGAGTGTCATATAAATTCCAAAATGCCAGACTAAAATATCCATTTGCCTTTTTGCATGAAGTTAATTGAAGTTTATGAGATTAAAGTTTTTTTTCCATTTTTTGTAGTAAATTTACAAGAAAAT